AATAGAATGGAATAGAACGGAATAGAACGGAATAGAATAGAATAGAATAGAACGGAATAGAACGGAATAGAACGGAATAGAACGGAATAGAATTCTTTATTGGCCAAGTGTGATTGGACAAAGAAGGAATTTGTCTTGGTGAAAATACTCTCAGTGTACATAAAAGAAAAGATTCGTTCATCAAGAATCAAGAATCATAATGTACAACACTTAATGATAGTCATAGGGTACAACAAGCAATCAAATCATACTAGGAAACAGTCAAGCAGGAGGGGATGGGTGATAAGGAGTGGTGAGAAGATCAACAGTAATAGTAGTGTACACTTTGTAAATAGTTGGACAGTGTGGAGGGAATTATTTGTTTAGCAGAGTGATGGCTTTTGGGAAAAAACTGTCCTTGTGTCTAGTTGTTCTGGTGTGTAGTGCTCTATAGCATCGTTTTGAGGGAGGGAGTTGAAACAGTTCATGTCCGGGATGTGAGGGGTCTGTAGATATTTTCACAGCCCTCTTTTTGACTCGTGCAGGATCCAGGTCCTCGATGGAAGGCAGGTTGGTAGTAATTGTTTTTTCTGCAGTCCTAATTATCCTCTGGAGTCTGTGTCTGTCCTGTTGGGTTGCAGAACCAAACCAGACAGTTCTTGAGGTGCAGAAGGAAAGGAGGGAGCGAGGGAAGGAAGGAAGGAAAGGAGGGAGGGAGAGAGGGAAGGAAGGAAGGAAGGAAGGGCCGTGGTGGCGGTTTGGTCAGAATGAAGTTTTGCATGCTAACTCATTCCTCACAGACAGGAGTTTGATCCTGACCGGCTCCAGGTTGACTCAGCCTTCCATCCTTCCGAAGTGGGTAAAACGAGACTTGGATTGTTTGGAGCTAAAGGCTGAATCGGTAAAGCGCTTAGAGAGGGTTGTAAAAGCACTATGAAGTGGTATAAAAGTCTAGGAAGGAAGGAAGGAAGGAAGAAAAGAAGGAAGGTAGGAGGAAGGAAGGAAGGAAGGAAGGAAGGAAGGAAGGAAGGAAGGAAGGAAGGAAGGAAGGAAGGAAGGAAAAGAGAGGAGGGAAGGAAGGAAGGAAGGAAGGAAGGAAAGGAAGGAAGGAAAAGAAAGGGAAGGA